GTAAATATTCTGGTTTAGCTCCTCCTACATCAAGACAAAGCGCAGGTGACCTTCTAAACACTGGAACCATTGAGAGGTTAATCAAATTTTTTTCTCTCCAAATTTTAAATGTGTTTTATCTGCATCATAATATGTCAGCAGTTACAGAACTCAACACAGTCAGTTGGGTCTCTCTTTAAGTTGTTATATCTTTTCTGTATAGTAGTGATGATGATGTGATGGAGAAAGACAGGTCCACTCCTCATCCCAGCCTCATGCGTCGCTCCTCAGTCACAGTGTCTAAGGCAGAGGTCATTGTGGCAGCAGTGCTGAGCATCATGGCTGCTTTCTCTCTACTGTCTGCTGGAGTGCTCATCTACAGGAAGTGTTCATCAGCCAGCGTCACAGTACATCCTGCCATCAAGCCTCCATATAGGCCACAGATGCCACCCACCTAATGCATCAGGAAGAACTGATAGTAGAACCAAAAGTGGGCAAATAAAAAGATTCAGAGTTTATATATATATATATATATATATATATATATATATAATAACAAACAATTATAACAATTAACAAACTTATTTTACAATACATATATTATAATATTTTTATGATGAAGATAATAAAAGAGAAATGTGATAAGTAGATTTTACAATGGTCATAAACTTTCCTAATAGTTCAGGTAAATGTCCTTTGATAAATCTTGTGTGTGTACATGAAAGATGATGTTTGTCTTTGACTTAAACACATGAAAGATTTACTCTCGTCTCCGTTGAAAAACCAAAGATCATTTTAGAATATTTAAAGCTTTTTTGTTAAATGTATATCTTAAAAAATGTAAAGCTTAATATTAATTAATTGTAAAATATATCGTTGCTGTTGTATAAACCATTAGCCCTTTTCTGGACTTGCTTATTCAGTCATTCATGTACAAATCAATATATCATTATTATTTAAAGTCTTGTAAGACTTTTATGTGTACTCACAAAAGGCAATGGACAGCAACGTGATCCTTAGAATTTATTCAGCCAACAAGATTATAATAGTTTTCAAATGATGTGGTTACATTATAAAGTAAACAAACAAGAGAGTAAAATCTAAAGAAGCTAAAATCAAACGGTGATTTCAAGGTGTGGAATTTCCATGCAACTAACAAAATAAAGATAATTTCCAAACCAGTGTCTCAAACATTTCTTCTGTCTGCCCACTTTGACCATTATTTGGAAAAAAACAAACAAAAAAAACAGATGCCTTCATCCCAGACATGACCGGTTGAGCAAGATGCTGACAAGTCATTCTATAAACAAACAGCAATGCGTGGAAGCCACTGCTATAAACTTGGTTATGCATATTGAAATACAATACAATAAATATTTTTAACATGAAAAAACAACAACTTGATCATTACAATTATGATACTAAACAGTTATTGAACCCAAATAACAATGTGGACTAAATTCTGTGATAATATAATTTTAAGTTTTCTAAATACATTAATGAAATTATTGGTTAAAAAGAAAGGTTACTAAATTTGTCAGCAAAGGGCACATCCTGTAGATCCAAGAGGATGAAGCAGAAATGAAATATTGCATCCTGGTCTTCACCCAGTGCTCAGAAAGTGTCATCTGTGAGAGATGAGCAACAAACATAAGCTTTACAAATTGTATAAATATTGTGTAAATTTGTATCAATATAATATTATCAAATAACAGACATCAATACAATATAATATAATTTAAAAAAACGCAAATAAAACACAGACATCAATATAATATAATATAATATAATATAATATAATATAATATAATATAATATAATATAATATAGTTTTACACTGCAACTGCAGCCCTACATGTCTAATTACCTTTTGTTGTTGTTATAAATAAATGATCATTCTTTGTTACCGTCTTCTCTTTACTCTTGTCTTCTACAAGAACAGTATTGTGGGTCTTGTGGTCTCCCTCAGTGCAAGACTGACACACAGATATCTGATCATCTCCACAGAACATCTCCAGAGCTCTGTTATGTTTCTGCATCATTTTAGGATTGATATCCTCCACAAGGTCAATCATCATGACTTCCTTTATGTTTACGACTTTCTCATGAGGCTCCAGTTGCTCAACAGCTGCTCAGTATCTCTAAGATCCACTCTCTTGGTGAAATGCACACGTGTTATCATGACTGCTTTCCCAGCATTCCTTCAGCAGGCAGGCCTTACAGAAGTTATGTCCACATGGGGTCATCATGGGATCAGTGGACAGCTCCAGACAAGTTTTCACTCAGTACACTGCTTGAGGAAGCCATTACTGAAAATAAAGAAAAACTTAACATACATTACAAAAACAAGCTAAAAATAATATGAGAACAGAAAGACATAGATATTTATATAAATAAATATTTCTAAAATATCTGCAAATGGTTTGATTCAAAGAAGTTGTTGATTTATTCATCATTGTTTATTACATATAATAATGATATACTTTATTTATGCTAAATGTTAGCATCTTTATATTTAAAATATGTCTTTATGAGAAGAATAGAAGATCTCTGTTAATTATTTATTACCTGAAGGTTTGCACAGAGTCTCTTCCTGGTCCTCAGTTTCTAGAGGTTGTGAATGTTCTGTTATCACCGGTTCCCTTTTGTATCCTTTACAAATTGCAAAAATGAACTCTGAAGTTCTTACTAAATGGACAAATGTGCCATCGTATTGACATAAAAATTATATCACAAGGTGAATGCTTGCTTTATACACTACTTTTTGTCAATAATCAAACGAAGCATGTTACCAGCTAAAATACAAATTGTAAAAATGCAAATATATTTATATATGTTTTTCTCAAAGAGTTGCACAATCTCTCAAAGAGCTGTATTGCACTTTAGATCAGGACATTTGTTAAATGGTGCTTTACAAAATGGGCAGGTACAGTTCTGACTGTTGTCCCAGAACATTTCCAGGCATATCTTGCAGAAGTTGTGTCCACATGGAGTGGTGACCGGATCACTGAATACATCCAGACAGATGGAACACTGGAGCTCTTCAGATTATGGGCCACTGGTGCAGAACAGGAAAGCAAAAGAAATCTATTAATTTCAGGAATTTCTCAGTTTTGAAGTGCACATTTTCTGTTCTGAATTTAGCAAGTAAGTTTTGTGCACATTTTAAGTTTTGAAACAAATGAGCGGGTTGCACTCTGGAATTTTTTTTTTATTTACATCTTTGAACTTTAAAATATACACTTACCTGTTGTGTTTTTCTCAAAGAGTTGCACAAGATATAGATATATTTAGATACAAGTAGCCTACCGTGGTTAAAAATGGAAGGCAGTTGTTCTGTAAATAGTTGCATGCACCCAATACTTTCTGGCTCTGTCTGAGGTAGAATTTTTCCGGAAGAAAAATAAACAAAATTTATTCTGAATATGCAAACAATGTCAGAGGCCGAAAGCACTGGATGTCTCCAACTAAAACAGAACAACCAGAACAAGGTTTCCACTCAATATTAGCCTTGAGTTACAGCTGATTATAAAGCAGAATACTGACATATACATGTTCAGAAAATGTATCTACTGTATCTGGAAGGAATTTGTGAAAAAACATTAATTTGGTTATTTGCGTTTAATACGACTTGTGTAAGCAGAAATGGATCTGAAAAATATCAAAAGCAAACTGTAAATATAAAGGTTTCCTCCTATTTATAGGCACATATTATATTATAAAATAATTTTCGGATACTGTAACGAATGCAAACTGACACTACTTGGGGAAGTCGTGGCCTAATGGTTAGAGAGTCGGTCTCGTAACCCAAAGGTTGCGGGTTCGAGTCTCGTACCGGCAGGGATTGTAGGTGGGGCGAGTGAATGTACAGCGCTCTCTCCCACCTTCAATACCATGACTGAGGGGCCCTGGAGCAAGGCACCGAACCCCCAACTGCTCCCCGGGAGCCGCAGCAAAAAAAATAGCTGCCCACTGCTCCGGGTGTGTGTTCATGGTGTGTGTGTGTGTGTGTGTGTGTGTTCACTGCTGTGTGTGTGCACTTTGGATGGGATAAATGCAGAGCACTAATTCCAAGTATGGTTCACCATACTTGGCCACATGTCACATCACTTTCACTTTGATACTAAAACTAATTAATCAGCTTAAATGTTGTTATATGTGGCATTATCAATTAAGGCATTTAAGTTACTAACAATAATTCACGGTTCAGATAAATTAATCTTTAATCACAAAGATCTAACCACTTGAAACTTGGTCTACCGGTTTTTATAGTCTATGACCGGTACATAAAGTAGGCTAAAATTATGACCTGACACCTAGCGGTTGTACACCGCATCGACACAATTCAATAAAAAGAAAATTTCGAGCTTCGACAATAAACAATGTGATAAACTACAGGGTAAGATTTATCCATATGTTCTTAATATTAATTTTCATAAGTTTTCAAAACAACCCATACACAGATGATGACAGTAATGGAGTTGAAATAAAAGAAGCATAAAATGGTTCTGCACTGTATGGATTGGTGTTGACACATTGACACCTCTACCTCTGCTCATTTTTTTCTATTATGCTGTCATTTGCAGTATTCCTCATGCCAATATTTACCATCAACCAGTGTTATATTAGTATCATTAAAATATAAATTTTTATTAAAATATTGAATTTATATATATATATATATTTATTTTTTTATTTTATTTTAATGTTTTTTAAATGAATTGAAAAAGTTTTAAATATTGTATTTTATTAAATAATATATTTATTTATTAATAATAATAAACATGGAAGCTCACATATTTGAGCTTCCGGGTTTACCTAATTTGATGTTCTATTTGATCATTGTTTATATGGGAAGAAAAATTTAACAAAATTTTTTGTCATCAACAAAAAGTTTAAAGATCATCTTTACCTGAGGTTATTGTAATTGGAACATTTTTGTGAAAATAAATTAGTCTTACTAGCAAAAAAAAAAAGAAAGAAAGGAATAATAATTTATTACACTGACAATCATTCGTCATTTTATTTATTTATTTATTAAATTTTTTACAAATGGTTATAATTTGCCAAAATACATTTATTCTTACCGACAGGTGAAATTTTTATCTCCACAATTAAAGCCTGGGCTGAAATATGGATAGAGTTTCTCAGTGAAAGACTGACCAGTGAAAGAGTAGATATGAGACCTGGACTCCACATCATAAAAGGAGACCAAACCCTGCTCATAATCTACATACACACCCACCTTCTGGGGCTTGACTTTCAGACAGAGAGAGACAGACAGGCAGTCACAGGCCTTATACTCACTTCCATTCCTCAACCATAGAGTCCAGAGTCCATTCCTTGGACTCAGCGTAATTATTCCCTTCCTGTTAACAGACTCTCTCGCCACACCTAAATCCCACTCAGTTTTCCCTTTCACCTGCACTTCAAAATAAAATTTCCCAGAGGAGAATCCTTCCTTCCCCAGGACACTGGGACATGTATCAAACCTCCACGGACTGTCCGGGACAATCTGTCGTGTTTCTCCATATCCAGCTTGTTTGTCATCCTCAGACAAGAAGAGTTTTGGATGAGCTGTTTCGGGATCCATAGTCACATTCACTGAGAGAGAGAGAATTAGCAGACTTTTTAAACATATATTTGTAGTATGGAATAAACAAAGATCTTTCATCAACTTTTTTTTTTTGTTATATTTGTCCCATTAAAACTGTCTTGGAAATGTTTTTCCCTGTGTTCATATTTTTATATCTGCTACTTTGTATGTACTCTTTTACACTTGTCCCACAATTTCAATATTAAAATATGAATATCCATTTACATATTTAAAACTATGATGTTCTCTATTATTGTTCTATTCATTTTTAATTTCTATTATACATTTTTTAATTGTTCCAGTTTTACATTTTTTTAATTGTTTACATGTTTTTTTTCCCAGTGTCATTGAACAGCTTGAGATAAAATATATGAGACATGTGATTTGTGAAAAACACATCAAGGAAAATATTACTTTTGAGCAGAATTTGTGTGTGTAATTTCCAGTCACTCTTTAATTTTGTCAAATGATGTAAAAAATATAAAAGTCTTATTAAATTGTATGTATTTATTAAGAATAAAATGCTAACTATGAAATTAGCTATGATACACTGTGATAGAGGTTTTTATGACTTTCAGAAAAAATGAACCAAATTTTCCATGTATGTATATCTACTGTTGGACATTGTTTGGCAAAGCAAGAAAAGTGAGTTTTAAGAGTTTTAAAAGTTCATAGGACTAAAAGTGCCCACAATATATTCATAAATGTGAAAATGTTTGTGTATGAATGTAGGAAAATGGCATAGATGACGTACCTGTAAACTTCTCAATCCTCTTTAGCTCTGAGGAAACAGATTATACACTTGATTATTTTCTAAAAAAATGTATGTAAATAATAGAACTGTGCCAGTCTTAGCTTTTAATAGTGTTGAATGCTTACAGAATAATTCTATTTATATTTATTCACAATAGAAATTCAAGAAAAACAAGCTGTTTTTTATATACCGGACATGCTCACCAGTTCCTGTGATCTTCACCACTGCACCATTGAGAAATTCTTCATGCTTTGTCAGTGCTCTCCTCAGAGCGTCCTCCCTCAGATGAGTATCAGTACTGAACCCAGTCCAGATCTTGGTGTCTAAAGGGCTGCACAGGGATGGATAAATCTACAGCAGGAGAGAGAGAGAAATCCCTCAGCATGTTAAGTGTTGTCCTGTGATGTGAGCAGAGAAGAGAGAGAGAGAGAGAGAGAGAGATCCCCCAACATGTTGAGTGTTATCCTGTGATGTGAGCAGAGAGAGAGAGAGACACACTGACCTGTAGGAGGTGCAGGTGATCCTCAGTGTGTGAGAGCTGCTCCAGCTCAGTGTTTCTCCTCTTGAGTTCAGTGATTTCCTGCTCCAGCTCTTTAATGAACTCCTCAGCCTGTGTTTCTGCAGCTTTCTGCTTCTGCTCCATCACCTCCAGCAGCTCATCCCGACATCTCTCAATGGAGCGCATCAGATCAGTGAACAGCTCGACAATGTCTGCTTTTTCTTTTTCTGAGCTTTGCTAAGTAAAGGATAATGTACAGTCAGTCTTATTAAATGGCCACCAATTTTACATTGACATTTATGCATTTAGCAGATGCTTTTATCCAAAGCGGTTTACTAATAAGAATGACCAAAGAAATTCATCAAAGAGTCAACAATATCCGTAATACACAATTCCAGGTATATTACAGGTTAACTAGTCTAGGAAGCACGCTAGAGAAGATTTCAATATGGCATTCTGACCACATTAAATAAAACTATGCAATGAACTTTCAAAAAGACTAACCTTGGCGAGCTGTACTGAGTGTTTGATTTCTTCAGTTTTCTTTATTCTGTTCTGAATCATCAAATTAACCTCGGCTTGTCTTCTCCCGAATTGGGACTGTGGACAGAAATTAAACTTTCATTAAGGCAACTTTTGAAAGCCGTTGAAGCACAGATAAAGATGAAGCACCTCTCACCTTCCTTTCTTCACTCTCCTCCTCTACAGGAACAGTGTTGTGGCTTTTGTGGTCTTTTGTCGTACACGACAGGCACACACACTTCTGATCATCTCTGCAGAACAGCACCAGTGGCTTCTCATGCTTCGGGCATATATAATCCTCCAGATTCTCCACAGGGTTGATAAGTTTGTGTTTCTTCAGTTTTGCTACAGTGTTATGAGGCTCTAGGTGTATTTTACAGAACGATCCTTCACAGTGCAAGCAAGACTTCAAAGCTCCTCTCTTTATTTTTGTACAGGCATCACATGGTACTGCACCAGGTTGGACAGGACTTTCCACCCTCTTCAGCCCTTCAACAAGCTCTCTGAATTCTCTATTGATGCCAAGATCTGGTCTCAAATGAAAGTTCTTCTTGCAAAGTGGGCATTGAGTCTCCATACTGCTGTCCCAGTGTTGACCGATACATGCCATGCAGAAGTTGTGTCCGCACGGAATGGTTACTGGGTCAGTGAAGAAATCCTGACATATTGAACACAGGCACTGTTCAGCCTGGGAACTGATAGAAGAAGCCATCGCTGGTGGAAGAAGAAAACAAAATGATTGTACAAGCCATGCATACACACACAATATCTCTACTTGCCCCTCCCTTTTAAACAAATTGAACCTGTCAAACCAGTTTTGATGCAGGATTTAAATTCAACATATACTTCAATTGATATTACTATAAAGATTCGCATTAAGTTACAAATTAAGTTTGAAAGTGTATTTCGAGTGGCTTTTAAAATAATAGACATTAAGAGAAATCATAACAAAAATGCAAGGGTGATGCACCAATCGAATAAGCACTTAGAAAGGAATAAATTTCACTAACAAATGAGACATTTTACTCACCTCTAGGTCTGTGTGGCCTCTTGTGTGTGTCTTCAGTGCAGCTGTGGTGTAACGCAGGAGGAAGGAAAGCGTATATTGTCACCTGTTCCTCATTGTACGCATGTCACCTTTTTTTTCTTTTCTTTTTTACAATATGTGACATCATAACCGCTCCCATGCAATTATGTTGTAACTGACTGCATTCTGATGTATCGTGTGGTAACATGCTTTCATTTTGAGACTGACTCATTTCACTTTCTCCCTGCTTCAGTGAAAACAGATCCAGATCCAGTGTTCTCAGTAAGAAGCAGTCTGTGAGAGTCACAGGGAAATCTTTGGAATTGTCTGTACCTGATGTGTTGTGCATAAATTACTCCTCATCAGTCTTAAATGTAATAAAAGAAGGGCGCCAGCATGTTTACATGGACCTTGACAAACAGATCAAAGGCTTTATTGACAAACACAATTATCTGAATTCAAATTGTAAATGAATATTTTGAATATTAAACGTTACGTACCTACGAAGCAAACACAAGTCATTCTTCAGTGATCATCTAAATGATTTATTTTCACAATACAATACAGAGATGTCTGAACTGCAGTGAAATATAAGGAACAAAATGTGATTTAACAGCATGTACAAATTTGAAATCAAATTAAACTGCCTATTTATCTGCCAATAGGGATCTTCTGGTTTTCAGCAAAATATGTAAGTGGTGAAAAATATATTTCTTAAACATTCATTCATATCTGCTCCAGCAGCAACTTTAAAATCACAATCAATGAGGACACTAACTGTAATGGAATGCCAAAAGTATTAAATTAATAACAAAAAATACAATGAAATCATTAAGGTTAATTAAGAGTCAAGTATTAAAGTTTTAAGTATGCAGTATGTCTAATGATCAAACCAAGCTCAAATGCATAAAATTATGCCAATACTTATACAGGAACCGATTAAGACTTCAAAAGTGTGTAATACCACTGCATTTGTTACATACAAACACAGGAGAAACCATTAAAAGGGTAAAAAATACCCTTGCTTGGTCTTCAAATATATTCTATTTAATATAATGGTTGTTTATAACAGAGGTCTTTAGCATATTGTATAATAGACAGCTAATACTTTAATAATCCTTGCAAGGATCTGCATTGGTCTAGTGAACAGAATGACGAATCAGAATGTTCTCAGAAAATCCCAGAAATATCATATAAATATAAGACATTAGGCATAGACATTCAGCTAAAATCTACAACAAGGTCTAAAATGGTACCTGAAATTTCTGGATAAAATATAAGGCTCTAAAAGAGGTTGTTTAGACAAATGAACAGAGAACAAACTCAAGATTTTAAGGCTATGACCTAAAACACAAACCGCACAAAACATACACTTTCAGTACGGTGTAATAAATGAAACCAAATTGATGTTCTCACTGTACTACAGTGTAGTATAAGACTAAAACAGACAGAATGTAAGAAGTTGGTATTACAGTGTCCTTGAAAACTCATCAAATAATTCCGAAATTAGAAGTTTTCAAATTGTGATTATTCAAAAATGAAGAGGCCATGCAGTTGCTTTAGGCCTTAATACAGCATCTGGGGAAACCTTTGAATTCAAAAGCTTATGTGCGGGCCCAAAAACACTAAATGATGATGTGAGGTGTGTGTATGTATGTATATGTATGTGTGTGTGTGTGTGTGTGTGTGTGTGTGAATATGCATATGTGTGCATCTGACTGCAGAGAGAATAAAATGACCTTTGCATGGATTTGACATAATTTGGCCCATTATGGACCTGATTAGACCTTAGTACTGGCTTAATTATCATTACCAAATACTGTGTTGAGTTGTTGGGTCACCCTAATGAAGGTGGTACGACGACTCAACTCTTTCAGCTTAGCAGCACCCACGTATGTGCAGGTGGAACGAACTCCACCCAGCACATCTTTCACCGTCACCTCCACAGGCCCTTTGTAAGGCATTTCAACTGTTTTACCCTCTGACGCCCTGAAAACAAACAAAAAAAATACAATCAATATCAATCAACTCAAGAGTTGTGTTGACAGGCCAAAAATCCCTCTTTTTTTTTTTTTTTTTAATCAGAATGCACAGGTGCAAATCAAACTGGTCATTAGTAGGGATGTAACGATGCACACCGAGCCAGTTGAAATTGATACAGGCTTCCCTCTCTATATAAGGCAGCGCTTGGATGTCATCCATTCAGAATCTTGAAGCAACTTGGCATAGTAAGATCCTGAGCTAGGTGACACGGCAGTAAGTGCAATTAATCGCACATTTTTTCTGTGATCAATCCCACCAAACATTAAAGTTTTCAAATATACTTTTATATTGCAATAATTTCACATTCAATCTTCAAATTAATGTAGAAAGAACAGCTGTTTAATGGCATATTTTTTTATGACTATCAAACACTAAATTCTAATTTAAAAAAAGATTAATCCTTAAAGCTACAAAAGTTATTGATTTCCTAGTTTTTCTTTTGTACTTTGATTAACAGACATCACAGCAGCTGGGTTATTACACTGCTG